TTTTGTGCCTTTCGACCTCTATCGGAATCGGCAGATCTTGGACAGGGAAGATGCGAAAAGGCCCATAATACATGAATCCATGATATGCGAAAAAAAATGGCAATTACGTAATCATGAATCTATTTTTCTATCTTGTAAATAAGCTATAGTGTGTGGCGATCCTTGATTACGTAACTATAATTTTAAAGAGAATAAAAAAAAAAAAAAAAAAATCTTCACTATAGCTTATATCGAAAGATTATAAAGTTTATTATATCGAAAAAAAAATTCAAAGATCTTTAATTTATTACTAATTATTGTTACACCTGATCTTAATCGCGTGATTTTCGAATCAAAACGGGTCGGGTTAATCGAATCAAAATAATCATGTGGCTTTTTTTATTTACCGAATGTTTCAAGGGATCACCAATCAAACTGCTCTTTTACATACAACTTGTTTTGTATAGTAATTATTTAAATTTTCTCGGGATTTTTACAATAAAATTTCTTAGTTTCATCAATATTAAATATATAGGCGAAAGAAGGATTCGTGTATTGACATTAGTATTGCCAGTTACAAATAGTATAAGTGAACTTTTTTCATCAGCTTATCAAATAGCTATATCGACATTATTAGCAAATAAAGGTAAATATGGAGCATATTTTTTGAATGTTAAAGATTCACGCGTAATTTAAATATAATTATTTTTATAATTAGCGGTGGAAAGGTTACTATCTTCGAAGTTGGAAGATGCACGAGATGCGTTAACAAGTAAAATGATTGATATTTTCGGTGTATACCTCAATTACAAATTTGGGATAATATGAAATTGCTACCTTTGTTAGCACTTGGGCTACTTAAGCATGTATGTTTCTGCACTTGATTTGTTATCTAATTATTTATACTATTTCTTATTGTTTTTCACACTTTAGGTCGGTTTACGTGCCAGTTCACTAATTCCAACAGATTTACGGTCTTATGCAATGTGCTTATTGACGGCAATGCCATCTCAACTATTGATTCCATATTTGCATCCACGTTTTTATTCATTATACAACATGCCTATTGTTGTAAGAAAAATTTCTGGGATTAGAATTTGAACATAGGTTGATATAAAATATCTGGCTTGGTAGACAATGTCAAATTATATTTTTTTTTATAATTTTGTAATTCTAAGTCACCATTAATATTTAAAACCTACCATTCTTGAATTATAGTGTACCCTATTACAACTAGACGATTCATTCTCACAAAAAGTGAATGCGATTTTTGGTAAAACTCGAGAATCCCATCTCTATATAGTATAAGAAGATGGCAGTGATCCTTCATTGCGGTTATGGTTCTTGTCACACATCATAGAAGATCGTACAGACACAGTAATGAGTTATCAACAATGGCTGGGGCATTTGAAAGATAAGGTAAATTTTTGTTTTTTTTAAAAAAAAAAAGGATTATTTAATGTGACAAATCAATAACCTCTTTTAAATTCTTTTTTTTTTCGTTTATCGGAGCGATTCAAAAGAAATTTATCCACATTTTACAAATGCCACAGATACAACCTTATTAAGACGTATAATGGGTAGTGTAACAGGTAATTATTTATAATTATATATATATATATTATTTCACTTCCATAATTCTTTAATTACTAAAACTACTTAATGAATTTACTAGATATTATATTAACTCAGAATTTAAGAGATTTAGTATTATAGTAACAATTATTTTAATAAATTGGATAGTTTAATTAAATTTGGCATTAGGTGAAAATTGTTTGGGATAATGTTAATAAAATTCAAAGAAAATTATTTACTATATATTTTTTTCATTTTTACTGAATTGACCAAATACTGTACAAATATTTTAAGGTCATAACAAAAAAGAGTATTTATTCTTATTAAACTTTTTAGATAAAGTTTAATTAACTACTTTTTTTATATTTACCAATTATCAAAGATATATAAGTTATATATAATATACTGTATATGTTATAAATTATATGTATTTACATATTATAATTTTAAAAATTTTGAGCAAAACAAAATTAACTCAATTAAATTGATTTAAAAAGCAATAACAGATAATAATTATATACTTATTATGATTATAAATTGTTTGTGAAATTACTACCAGAATTACACAACTTTTTTAAACAGTTGACCCGAATTATAAATAAACTAAAACTGGATATTAAAACTAGAGTTGTTAAAACTTATCTGTGCCAAGTTGAATTTTAAGTCCAATGTAAATTAAATAAGATGCTAAGCAGCCAGCTTTCTCGATCACTAACTGATGCAAAACTTAGTCTGCAGCTTTTATTTTATCTCAGACATAACTTGCAGTACGTATAAAAATCTTAAAGCAACTCTAGAAATTACTTTGCTTATTATGGAAATAATCGTTTAAAATGTGTATCGGTATTCGAAATATTAATACTTCCAAATATATACTGCATTTATCGTTATAGCATTTTCGGAATTCCCGGAAATATTGTATTAATGCACCCGAGAAATATTGCATGAATGCACTATTACGGTAATTCGGATTATTTCTACGTATACGTATACTTACTCCCTAATATTTTAATAAGTAATAAATAGAGAAAATATTTAATAAACAATTATAATAAAATATATAATTCATTTTATTAATAAACTCTATACTTATTTGATTTGATAACGATAAGCAAGACAATGATTTCCATATTTGTAAATTAAAATACTGCGTGCTGTATATAATTTATTTCCTGCACAAATTCTTACAATACTTACTTGCGTACTTGCGCTTTTAAAAACAAGAATTTCTTCTCATTTTCTTTATTTTTTTTTATTAAACACCCCAATTCGGGGTAATGGTTTTTACGTGAAATTAATCTTTAGGTCTTATGAATACTGGAATATATAAAATTTCTAAATTTATCATATTTCTTAATATCCAATCGGTTTTTTCGTTTTATTAGGTTAAAAGAACGCTTCGCTAAATTATTAGTAAATACCGGTAATACGCTTTATTACGTGATGGTTTGACCACTTTTCTACTGCATAAAAAAAATCAGAATGAAAGACAACCTATTCGTTCACATCTATATCTATATGTATAATATGATGCAAAGTCCAAACTTTAATAAAAGAGTTTTGAATTTTTTTTTTATCTTACCAATTTAGTCATTATTTAACATAAGTGTTCCACGGCGGATGCAAACATCAGATGACGAAATCCAATGTCAGTAAGATATTACGTACAGGTTGTCAACTAATTTTATTATAAACTCGTACGATATATGTTATCATATACATACAAAAGAGGTATCTATTAATTGATTAGTAAGTATAGATTTAATACGTATTTTGATATATATATATATATATATATATATCCGAGTTTATACATTTGGTTATAAATAATTACATCTATAATTATATGCATATCAACTAACGCTAATTACACGTGAAGTTAGTATGTAAAACTTTATTCATACCTCTCTTTGGTCATTAACGTTAGTGCTAGTTGAAAAAAATTAACCCTCTTAATTTGTAATAATTTACAGATTAAATAAATGTATGCAATAAAAACATTTCTTAATGATCGTTTTTTTTAAAATTTCGCACAATTCAGTTTGACAAACTTGGATGTTTCAATTATATTATTATTAAGATAACTTCTTATTATATATATACTGTATATATATATAGAGTTATAAGATATTTATAATAAAGTTATATAGTACAATAGAGAAAATACTTTGTCATTTTTATAGTACAATATGCAAATCCGCCAAAAATTATTTGAAAAATGATATAACCTAAGTATACATAAAAAAAAAAAGTGCTAACTTATCATATCAATATTAAACCTGCAAGTACGAATAAAACTAAATCTCGCTTTAAAAAATTAATGTTGGGCCCATTGGATTGATTTCAAGTCTACGCCTTCTTGAACCTAAACAAAATAATAATAATATTTAATAATAATTTAATCAAAATTAAAATTCACAAAACATGCATATAATTTACCATTTCCCAAAGCGGTGACATCTCTCTTAGCCTGTCAACATGTTTCACAACTCTGTCCACAACGAGATCAATTTCCTGTTCTGTAGTAAATCTTCCTATACCAAATCTAATGCTTGAATGTGCCATATCATCATCGGCTCCTAATGCACGTAAAACGTAGGAGGGTTCCAAAGACGCTGAAGTACACGCTGAACCCGAAGAAAGTGCAATATCTTTAAGTGCCATTAAAAGTGACTCGCCCTCAATATAGGCGAATGAGAGATTAACACAACCTAAAAAACATAAAAAACATTTTAGTCTTAAAATATGTAAAATACTTTATATAACAAAATCAAGAACCTTGATTTAATACCTGGATAAGTTGCAGTTGGATCTCCATTGCGAACAACGTGTTGAACTTTTTTCATAATTCCGTTGATTAGTCTTTGTGAGAGTTTTTTAACACGCTCTGAATCGTACTGCCGTAAATTTAAAAAATATTAATAAAGTTCGAATTCCCTTCTTTTTTCGCATCTTATTTAATCTTACAATTTTATACTAACCTCCATTTCCTCCTTAGCAATTCTACATGCTTCTCCTAGTCCTACAACTAACGGTGTAGGTACAGTTCCGCTTCTCAATCCTCTTTCTTGCCCACCACCACTTTGCAGCGCTTCAACCCTAACCCTTGGTTTTCTACGTACATATAAGACACCTACCCCTTTCGGTCCATAAATCTTATGACCTGAAATGCTCATAAGATCAATATTCATTTCGTTAACATCAACAGGAATTTTTCCAACTGCTTGTGCAGCGTCTGTATGAAAAAATACTTTTTTAGATCGACAAATTTGTCCAATTTCTTTAATAGGTTGTGTCACTCCAATCTCATTGTTAACAGTCATTATAGACACTAAAGATGTATCCGGACGTATTGTTTCGGCTAAAAGATTCAAATCAATAAGACCTGATGGTTGAACGGGTAAATAGGTTACATCGAATCCTTCTTCAGAAAGTACTCGACATGAATCAAGGACACATTTATGTTCCTATTATATAATAAATGATGAATTGAGTTATTTAATTGTTATCTTTAACAAACAAACAATGTTGTACTTTTTTTAACTGTCTCAACTTTGTTTTAACCAGTGTATCTATTATCATTGCATATTTTTTTTTTTAAAAAAAAAAAATTTTACTTTTTTATGCAACACACTTTTTCTTGATTCAGATGGTTAATTGTCCTGTGTACAACACTGTCTTTAAAATTTTTTAAATCTTTGATACGTACAATTTGAGTTGTAATAATATGTTTCTTGCCACTTTTATAAAATCGTGCAACACCTTTAATACTAATATTATTCGATTCTGTAGCTCCTGATGTAAATATTATTTCTTTTGGATCCGCTCCAATTAATTTAGCTACATACTATTAATAAAAATAAAAAAAATAATTAAAAAATTTTAAATTTCGAAAACATTTTATTTCATTTTATTTTATTAAATTTTAATTTATAAACTTACTGCACGAGCTTTTTCAACAGCTTTTTCAGCCTCCCAACCATATGCGTGCGTTCTTGAATGTGGATTACCATATTGTTGTGTCAAATATGGCATCATTGCATCAAGTACGCGTGGATCAGTAGGAGTTGTAGCTTGCATATCAAGATAAATAGGCCGATCTGCTTTATTCACTGAAGTTGCTTCAAAACCTAAGGATTCTAGAGTAATAAAAAACTGTATTGATTAAAGTTTTTAAAAAAAAAAAAGTAATATTTGATATTGATTCATTAAGTACCAGGCGAGGGTGTAATAAGAGTAGCTAAACCCCTATGAAAGCCGAAACCCCTGGAGAAAGATAAAGTTCCTGGAACTCTAACGAAAGACGAAACCCTTCCCCTTCGAAATATAAAAGACTGATCCGTAGTTAATAATCAAAAGATCAATTTTCCTTAACATATTAATTCTTTTTTGACATACCATTTTTCTGAAAGCTTATTATTATGACAGTTATTTATCGTTATCTGATTTATCTGATTAAAAAATAACCGTTTTTATTGCTATCTAATCTCCCATAGAAGGACATCTGATTGGCTGATGCAAATCAATGGTAACACTGGCAATACTGCAATAGGAGAATCCGTGCTAAGAGATTTTTCCTTATGCCGGCCATATTAATTCTTAATTCCGGCCAACAATTTTTAAGCCGGCCTAACTAATTCCTAATTCCGGGCCAAACTAATTATTAATACCGGGCCAACTAATCCTAGCTGATTCTTAATGCCGACCTAACTAACTCTTAATGCCTGGCCTAATTAATTCTTAATGCCGGCCAAACTAACTCTTAATGCCTGGCCTAATTAATTCTTAATGCCGGCCAAACTAATTCTTAATATTAGCCTGCTTTAGCCGCATTAGCCAGCTGACCATATTTTATCAGCTGGCTTAACCGACTAAGTCGGCTTAGCCGCGCTGCTTTAGCCGACTTAAAACACACTAGTGTACAAATAGTACAAATAGTACAAATAGCAATTTTTTTATTTAATATTTTAGCTTGAATGTTATGTTAAACAGAGAATCAAATTGGTCTGGCCTAATTTAAAAATACACAAATAGTATAGATAAGTTTATTAGTGTTAAGATTTGCAAAAATTATTTAACTAATAAAGGAAATAATAATTTATCGCTATTGCTACGTATTCACAAAGTCACAGATATATGATATATTTCGGATAATAACATGTATGATCTGCCCCTGAATTGAACTAATACTCCGTTTCACTATGGTTTAGGTATTTTTTTCAAATCAAATTTCTAATATTAGATTTCGGAACTTTCGCCAGGTTTCGGCTTCGCCGGTTTTCGGACATTTCGCCAGGCTTCGGATATATCGCCAGGTTTCGGAAATTTCTCCAGTTTCGCTAGCTTCGGAATTATCGGATTTCAAGTCTTTGGGGAAATATATTTCGCCCTATTTCGGTAATTTCGCCCGAAACACTAATATGAATCACATCGATGCGAAGACATAAAAATCCTTTATGATGAATTTATGTTTCTTATTCATCAAAATAAAGAAAAAGATTTTATCGTTTCATGGGAGTTGGAAAAACGAATGAAAGGAAGTATTTATATGAAAGAAGTTTGCAAATATTCAAAAGAGAAAAGTTGGTTCAATTGACAATTTTTCGATGTAATATTATTAAATTAGGAAAGATCTTAGATTCTTTGATTGAAGAGAATTCTGTTGATGATCATAAGCTGAATTAAACGGTTAATCTAAGAAAATTTTAGATTTAAATTTACGGGTTCCCCTTAATAGGATGAAAATCTGTAAAGCACACGTAATACAAATTTTAAAAAAGAATTAAGCAAGCCCAGTTTCAGATTCGCACCTTTTTTCTTTTGATATTCGAAAAATAAAATGGATAATAAACAATCAACTAAACTAAATAACCTTGGAAACAAATATTTACATGGAAAAAGTGTTAAAAAAGATGAATATAAAGCATTCATAAATTTTCAAAAATCTGCTGAGATGGGAGATGCTGAAGGAATATATAATCTTGCTGATTGCTATTTTTATGGAACGGGAGTCGAAAAAGATAATATATTGGGTAATTTAAAATAGTAGTCATTTTTTATTTGATCTTGAGGTAATTTTAATATTAATATACTGTATATTATTTATCTTAGATAAGCGGAAAAATGAAAATTTTAATATTGACGATGATGTAAAAAAATTATTAACTGAAGAAAAATATCCTTTAGCATGGATTCCATATAAAGAATTTAATGGTATTAGAAGAATAGGACAAGGTGGATTTGCAACTGTATATTGTGCAAAGTGGATAGATAGACAAAATTATTGGAGAGATGTTGCACTTAAATTACTCCATGGATCAAAATCTCAAAACGAAGGAAACGAAGAATTCATAAAAGAGGTAATTTTTATTTTGTTACTTACGTCTGTTAATAGTTTATATATTTAAATATTAAGAATTTTATTTTAATATTAAAGTTAAAGGCGTATTGTGACATTTGTTCTAAATATCCCTCATTTATAAAATGCCACGGAATATCAAAAGATGATTCCTCTGAAGATTATATAATTGTACTAGAATATGCAAGAATGGGTTCATTGCGTCAAAATCTTCGCGAAGTAGCACAAATGAAATGGAAGGATAAAATAACATTATTGGATTGTATTGCTTCTGATCTTCAAATGATTCATTCACAAGAACTTATTCATCGGGATTTACATAGTGGAAATATTTTACAAGATAATTTACATAGCGCCTATATTGCAGACTTGGGACTTTCAATATCTACAAATATAGAAATGAA